AAAAGAACTATATAATCTAAGTAAGGGAAGTTAGTAGCCTGTATATTAGTTATAAAGAGTAGATTATAAAAAAAGAGCTATATAAAGGAGGATTCGGTATATAAAGCGGGCTATAGCGGGCCTTGGAAGTAGAAGAGCTTGCTATAGATCTGAAAGTACTAGATCCTATAGGAGAAGTTAATCCGGGTATTCTTCTTATAGCTAATTAATATAAAGGCAAAAGTATAATTATATATCCGGATATTCGTCCGGAAGGCCCGGTAAAGCAGGTCATTGCCTGTAAAGAGGTAAGAGAGGTATAGAAGAGGCTTACGGATTAGAAGAAGTATTATATTACTCTTTTTATAATAGGCCTTAAAGCAATTATCCGTATAGCCAAAATAAAGGGCTTTATAAGCTATATAGTAACCCGTAAGTAGACCAGTTATATATACAGAAGCTGGCCGGAAGCGGAAGAGGAAGGCAGGAGGCTATATAGTAGGTAGGTTAGTAGGAGGGTCCTCTATAATATAAACTGGGGCTGTAATAGACGGTTAACGGATCCGTTACTGGTACTATAGGGCTGGCTCGTCCGCAGAGATATCCGTAATTAACCGTTATTATTACCGGGAGGTAGAAAGGGTATTCGGATCGAGTTCTTGTAAGGCAGGGCGCCGCTGGGTATAATTAGTAGCTAACCGGGCCTATTAACTAGTTAGTCAAGCTAGGAAAAGGGGGAAATACAGACTCGATAGTAATTATAGCTCTTATATACCTTAGCCCGTTCCGTAATAAAGTTAGAAGCAGGCCGATTTTACTTACAGGTAGTATAAAAGCAGAGAGGGTCCATAATATAAATAAAAGGGAGAGTAGTAAAGAGAAGAAGAAGAGAAGAGTAAAGTAAGGCCAGGTTTTTTTTTGGTATTCCTTACGTAACCTGTATTTTTAGAAAGCCCCGAGAGCTAGCTAAAGCCTTAAGAATTCCCTTTCTCTTTTCCCGAGCTTTAAAAAATCATAATAAAAGCCCCTCGCATTCCAGAACTACTAAAATAAAGAGAAAGGTACTTGAGCTTCTCCTCTCTTATCCTAAGCTAAGCCCTAAGGATTTGGATGTAATTGCATTCCGATATATGATTCCCTAGAAGAGAGAGATTCTGGTATTCCTTATATAACCCGTATTTTTCAGGAAGCCCCAGGAGCTAATTACTTAAGGGTGGTTCAAACGTACGATAATATAAAGAAGTAATAAATCTATTAGTAATATCTGAGTAAAATTCTTTTTAAGAATTATAGGTATTTTTCTAAAAAAAAAAAAAAAATTTATAACTAATTATAAATTAATTATTAGATAATATACTATCTCAAAGTAATACTTATATTATATAAATACCTTATTTCAGATAATTAGATCTATAGATTATAAGAATATTCCGAGCCTATTTATTTTAATAATTATACTTATAAATAACTTATTAAGCTCGAACGGAATCCGGAATTAGAAATAAGATATATATTTATCCGGGAAAAAGAAAGCTATAATATCTATTAATATTATATATAAGATAACCTTACTTTAGCTATAATAATAGTAGTAGAGAATCTTATAGAAAAACGTTTTACTAGTTCTGTCCGAGTTCTATAAATAGAAGTAAACTATTTATAAATTATTTATAATTATTACTAGAATTATCTAGAAATAAGAATACTAGTCTATATTTAGCTAGGCTTATATTATAATTACTAGTAACATCTTATAAATATAATTAACCTATAGATTAGTTATATAATAGCTTATAATCTAGTTAAAAGTATTCTTAGATAAGGTAATATTTATAAGTATTTACTAAAGATCTATAAGGCCAAGACTAAATAAAAAAAAGCTATAATTATAATAAGAATTAACTAAAAATAGTAGAAAGTTAATTAATGAATTATAAGCAAGTTTATAGGCCAAATTATTATAAAAATACTTCTTATACTAATTCCAGATTATTTATATATTTATAATTAGCTATTAATAAATATTTATAAACTATAGCCGGTTATTAATTAAATAGTCTTGTTAAAGTACTAGAACTATTTCTAATTATTTTTTATTAAGCTATAAATAATATAAATAATATAATATATGAAATAATAAATATTCTTAATTAAATAAAGCTTATTAAAGAACTATAAACTATATATAATTATTAATAAAAGCTATAAATAAAATTATTTATTTAAAGCCGGGCTATAGTAATAAATATAACTAATACTATATCTTTATTTATAGAACTTCTATATCCGGGTTTTAATAACTTATATAAAGTATTATAAGAACTTATAATAAAAGTACTAGTAGCTATTCTTATATATTATATTATATTTAAAAAAAGTTATTAAAATTAAACGAGTATTTATAGCCCGATTTATAACTTATTTAAATAAGAGATTAATTATAAAATAAACTATATATTATCTAGAAAAATAAATTATAAAATATTAAACTAGAAGGAATTCCTAATATATTAGATACTTAAATAAATATTAGAAAGCCTCTATAGGGCCTATATATTAAGCCTAAAAGTACTAAATAATTTTATTATTTATTCCCGAAATAGCTATAGTTATATAATTTATCTTTTTATAAATATATTTATAAATATACTTAATTATTTATATAAATATATAAATCTTAATATTAATATATAAGCGGAATTTCTAGAAAAGATATAAGTTATATAAAATAATTTAATAGTTATTACAGATAACTTTTTAGTCTAGAAAGCCTAATTTATAAACTATAAATATATAGCTATTATTTTAATACTAGTATTCGGAATATCTATTTTTATAAATAATTATAATAGCTATAAATGCCTTAGGAAACCTCTTCTAATATATAAATAAGGCTATAAATATACTATAGACTATATATAAGGCTTTTGGATTATTATTAAAAATATATAGCCTATAAAATATCTGGCTAGTAACTATAGCTATAAGTTTGCCTATAGGATTCTATAATAAGTCTAGAAGCTTAATATAAATTATCTTATTAACTAAATTAGAAATTAAAAAAAAAATTCTTTTAAGAAATAAAAATAGATATATATATAAAAAGCTATATTTCTAGTACTTAATTATATAAATATGGCCTATATATTATCCGAAAACGTAATTCTTGAAATCTATAAAAAGCTTTCTTATTTTTAATATAAAAATCTAGTAAAAGAAATCCGAATAATTAATTACTTATTATTTATTTAAAAAATAATCTATAATCTTAGGCTAGTATAGATTAGCTATAAAGGTAATAAAGAAGCTTGGCTTATTAAAATACTATATAATAGCTATTATATAAAGTAATTATTATTTATAAAACTAAATAATAATAAAATAATAACTAATATTACTTATATAAATATTTTTATAAATTAGTATATTTATAAGTCTTATATAAATGTCTATATAGATATTCTACTAGTATAAATAGAGCTAGTTAAATAAGATAGTCTTATAAATAATATATATATTAATAATATATTATTAGAAGAGGCGGCTAGTATAAAAGAATAAAAAGAAGACTAAATAAATATAGAAATAATACTAGTAAAAGACCCGTTACTTGAGCTATATTTATTAATAGGTTCTAATATAGTCCTATAACTATAACTTATAATACTAGCCCGAATTATTATACGGGAAAAGTAAGATATAATAAAATAATATATATATTATCCGTTCCGCTGCCGCTAGGGACGAATTTCCGGGGCCGGAATAACTATTATTCCGGAGGAACACCAAAATCATGCTTTAATATTTACATGTAAATAAACCACTAAATTAATTAATTGTACCACAACCACGATGCCGGATACTACTGTATTTGATTCCACTAATAAAGGGACCCTTTGGCCTAATGAGGATCCACTATATAAGCAGGGAAGTGCTTTTAAGCCTATATAATTACCCCCATTCGGCTGGGAAATTATCTTACCTGAAGACATCTCTCCAGATAATCCTATTACTTTATTTACTATATACTATACTCCCGAAATCATTAATCTGATAGTTAAGAAGACGAATACCTATCTGCGAAAACCTCAAGACAATTCTATCCCTTATATACGAGTAAATAATTAGTATCCAATATACTATAGAGAGAGATATATCTACCTTGCAATTCGGATATATATAAGCTTATATATAGAGAATAAGATTACAGACTATTAGAATACAAAGGATATGACTCCTGAGTACCTAATTACAAAGTTTCTAAATAGGAATCGGTTTCAGGAGCTCTATATACATATGCAATTCCATAGAAATCAGGAATAAGGCCTATATATAAAGGTAGTCCCCAGACCTCTATTCATTTTACCTGAAACTAGCTAATAAACTACTGAGTAGGTAAAAGCCTTTAGTATATATATCCAGGAGGTTAATTTAAGTATTTGGAAGCCTGGGAGGGACTTGGTAGTAGATAAGATAATTATATAATTTAAAGATTAATTAAAGAAAATAACTACTATTCCAAACAAGCCTATACCTACTAGATATAAGATATGGGGGGCAGCCCAGAGGGGGTTCTTACTCGTATAGAACTGGTATATTCCTGGCTAAAGGAATGGCCCTATAGGAGTATATACTCCCAGGGAGCTTGGTAGGACAATTAAGGCTAGAAATAGTAGAAATAAGATACAAGCAGTAGTCCTGTACTTAATTAAAAGATTATCTAAACCTCCTAAAGGTTCTGGATATTATATTTACCTTAATAATCTCTTTATTTCTACTCGCTTCGTCTAATACGCTCGTACCCAGGAAGTTATAATTACTAGAACTTGCAGGATAACTAGAGGGGTTATTAAGGGCTTCTTGACCTTTAGAAATCGGATAAAAAGAATATAATACCCTGGGATAAAACGTATTCCAGGTATATACCTAATAGAGAAGTATATTATATGGGGTAGAAAGATCAAGCTTTTGTTTTAATAATATCTTCCTTTATATCAGGTAACGAGCATATTTTATAGTAAAGAAAGAGGCCTAAGGAGACTTCTTCTAAAGCAAAGACTATACGAATACCCTTTAGTAATCAGGCTATAAAGACACTCTCGATTCCTATAATTACGGATAGATATAACTATTATATGGGAGCAGTTAACGAGTTTAATTACCTGACTGCCCAGAATACTGGTTTACGGTACGTAGAGCGAAGAGGGCACCAAGTATTAGAATACTGGCTACTTTATACGGTTCTAATCAATTACTATTTACTAGCTTTATATAGTAATATCCCTGAACCTAGGGAAATCAGCTTCAGAAGCCAGCAGGATTTCAGGAGCTAGCTAGTCAGTACGTTACTAGCTAAAGGGAGAGATAGTAAGATCTGTCCAAAGAGAAGAATATTACAGATTAGCCAGGGAGCTAAATAGGTACCTGTGGAATCGCATGAGCTAGTAAAGCTCAGTAAAATTGGGAAGTGTATATACTATAAGGGACTGAGATATGGGGACCGGCCATAAAAACGAATTATACTAGCTCAGATTGCGGCCAATCAGGGGCAAGAGAGCTATAGGAGAGATAGCTTCTATAGGTATAAGTAATACGATATCCACCTATATAAAAATTGTAGTTATTTTAATGTATTTCATAGAGAGAGGTAGAATTAAAGTAATTGAGGGGGAAATCCAGCCCTCTGATTAGCCAGAATTAAGCGAAAACCAGTATATACGGACCAATTCGTCCCTGGCGGTAGCGGAACGGATATATATAATATTAATTATATATATTTATAAATACTTATAGCCTGCCTTATAGACTATTAGTACTTAATTATAATAACTCGTATTTATATACTTATTCGGAATTAAAATAGTAATTTTATTACTTATAGGAAAATTCTTATAATAATAATTTATATCTAATTCGAGAATTAAATATATTTACGAGTTAAATAAAACCCGGAAATTAGTTTATTAGCTTATAAACTACAATAAACGGATTATAGTTTATAAGTATATTTATAAACTATAAAGGAACTATATAATCTAAATAAGAAAAGTTAGTAGCCCGGATATTAGTTATAAAAAATAGATTATAGAAGAAAAGCTATATAAAAGAGAATTCGATATACGGAATAGGCTATAACAGGCCTTGGAAATTAAAGAGCTTATTATAGATCTAAAAGTACTAGATTTTATAAAAGAAATTAATTCGGGTATTCTTCTTATAACTAATTAATATAAAGATAAAAGTATAATTATATATCCGGATATTTATTTAAAAGGCCTAATAGGGCGGGTTATTACTTATAAAAAGGTAAGAGAGATATAAAAGAGGCTTATAAATTAGAGGAAATATAATTTTGCTTTTTTTATAATAAGCCTTAAAATAATTATCTATATAGCCAAAATAAAGGGCTTTATAAGCTATATAATAATCTATAAACGAACTAGTTATATAATAACCTATAAATAAATTAGTTATATATATAAAAGCTAGCCAGAAGCAGGAAAGAAAAGTAAGAGGCTATATAATAAGTAAATTAATAAAAGAGTTCTCTATAATATAAACTAGAGCTATAATAAATAATTAACGGACCCGTTACTAGTACTATAGGACTAGCTCGTTTATAAAGATATCTATAATTGACTATTATTATTACTAAAAGAAAGAAAGAGTATTTAAATTGAGTTCTTATAAGACAGGATATTACTAGATATAATTACTAGTATTTCGGGCCTATTAACTAGTTAATTAAGCTAGAAAAGAGAAAGGATATAAACTCGATAGTAAAAGCAAGTTTTATATAGCTTAGCCTGCTCTATAATAAAGTTAAAAGTAGACTAGTTCTGCTTATAGGAAATATAAAAGCGAGAAGAATTTATAGTAATAAAAAGAAAAAAGAAAGAAAAATAATATAAGATTAGAGTTTCTTTTTTTAGTACTTTCTATAGAACTACTAGCTTTAGATTTCCTTTTAAATATTAAAAAATCGCAAGAAAAGCCTTTTATATTTCAGAACTACTAAAATAGAGAGAAAGATATTTGAGCTTTTCTTTTCTAATTCCTAGCTAAACCCTAAGGATTTGGATATAATTATATTCTAATATATAATTCCCTAGAAAAGAGTAATTCTAGTATTTTTTATATAACTAGTTTTTTTTAGGAGTCCTATAAGCTAATTACTTAAAATAGCCTAAATATAAGATAATATAAAGAAGATTATAGAATTATATTTATATAATATTTTATAAATATATATTTAATTAATAACTTTATTTAATTATAATTTTTATATTAATTTATTTTATAAATTTACTAAAAATCTAAATCTAAAAAATTATTATATTTTAAAAATTATAAAATTATTATATAATATATTAGAAACTAGAAACTATTATATTAATAAGCTTTTTATAAAATAGTTAATTTATAACTTTTATTTCTTTTATAATAAATAATTCTTTGAAATTATTAGTCTTTAAACTAATAATATTCAATTTATTAAAACTAATAATTTTATAAAAATAAAATAATTAAAGCTTTAAAAAACTAAGTTTTTAGCTAAAAAATATAAATATTTTACTTTTAATTATAATTTCAAGTTTAATAAAAATATTATTTATATAAATACTATTAGAATTACCTTTATATAAGAATATTAATATAAAACTATTTGAATTATTTTTATAAAAATACTATTATTATAAATAATAAAAGTATTATTTATTAAGATTTCTTTATTAAAAACTCATATATTATATTAATCTATTAATTAAAAGCTTTATATAATTTATTAAATTCTCGAAAACTAATATAAAAGTATTTAATAAATATATTTAATAATAAGTTAAGAATATTATTAAAGAACTAAAATTTATAAAGCTAATAAAGAAGTTTTTATATTTAATTATTTTTATAATTATTTTATTTATAAATAATAGAAATATATTTTAATTTTAATAAATAAAACCAAATATATTATTATTATTATTATTATTATTATTATTATTATTATTATTATTATTATTATTATTATTATTATTATTATTATTATTATTATTATTATTATTATTATTATTATTATTATTATTATTATTATTATTATTATTATTATTATTATTATTATTATTATTATTATTATTATTATTATTATTATTATTATTATTATTATTATTATTAAAAATAAAATAAAAATAATTTTTTATTTATTTAAATTATTAATACTTTAATTAATATAATATATAATTTATTTTAAATATTATAAATATTAATTCGAGAAATTAATAGCCCTTTAATATTATATTTATATTATTATTTATAAAAGGTTTCTTTAAACCTTATAAGAGAAATAGTAATTATTTTTATACTAAATTTAAAACTATAGTTTTATTACTCGCTGATTTATTATACTATTTTATTACTTACTAATAAATATCTTATAAAATAACTTAAGAAAAATTATTTATTTATATATAAATCTATAATAATATAGAAGATCCTTTAATAAGCGTATAATTAGTTATAATCCTCTGATTTCAAAGTATCTATTTATAAGAGGGCTTATTTTTAGCTATTTTATTTATAATAATAAGATTTATAACATAGCAAGGAATTACTAGAAAATCGAGGAGGTTCTAACGCCTTTGACTCGCTCCGCTTCGCTTACCAAGCGGCGCGATACCCGATTTAATAAGGAGCCCCTGAAGCGATACCGGATATGGACTAACCTAAACTTTATTCAAGCCTCATTCTCATTTTTGAACCTCCGAGCGCACGGTCACGGTCACGTGACAAAACAATTAACTATAATCAACCGTAGTTGATTATAATTTGAATAAGTAGATCTTGACTTGTTTTGATTAGATTCAGAGGCTATAATCAAATCAAGCTAAATTATTTGACACACTGATTGTTGATCTCCAGCTCCGGCGTACTGGATGGTGTGGCTCTGGAGTAAATAATGCAATCCAGCCGTCGGGGTGAGGGTCTCCAATGCCTGGCATGCCAAATCTTCCAATTGGGCGACCGACAAATACATGTGAAAAGCTGGCATGTGACATGTGATGTTGAAAGAAACAGCCCCCAGTCGCCGCCCACCCGACAGCTGAAAAGCCTTGCAATCCTCCGGAGAATTCTCCCCTCCCAGCGGCGGTTTGATTGGGTGCCCGGACCGAGTAGGAGCAAACTACTAGTAACAATATTACGAGGGGTAGGGATCCTGCTGAGTAAGAAAATAGATCCCCTCAGCCGCAAGCCCTCGGAAACCCAGGCCGAGATTAGGGTATTTACCTCCGTAGATGGACTACCTTTGGGGGTCAAAGAATTACAGATTCTAAAGAGGTAGTACTACCTAGATAGGCGAATATATGGTGGTGTTGATGCTAACTGAATTGGGCATCGAGATATACGCTACGGTATTGGTGTTTATTTTGGTGTAGCGTTGAAAACCGTCCATCCTCCAAAATGCGAAGAATACCAAAATCGCTACATTTAGAAAATCACGCCAAATCTCAATAGAACGCCTGAAACTCCTCAAAAGTGCTTTACATAATAAAAAAGAAGCAGATCTGACTTTGGCAAAAGTTTTATAATAATAGAATATAAGGCGGAATTATGAGAATTTTGTTATGCATCATTAAAATCGCGCCCGTCCTCGCTTAGCGAGTTGGGCGGATTTCAATGCCGCGCGCTTTCGAGGGGAATATTGTAGCGAGACCAGGGCTACTCCAGGCTGGCACAGACCAGAAGGGGGGACGGACTAGTATTGAGAACTTTAAAGCTTTTTTGCAAGCAGTCGAAACCCAGAACTCCTTGGGGCAGCTTTAGGGATGTCGCCTGCAAGGGTCCAAGCCCTGGTCCTGCAGTCAGCGCTGACGGGCCCCGAGATTCTGACGAAATTTCATTTCCACTTCTGTTCACTAACGGATGTGGAATGCGTGCCCATGGCACTGTTGCGAACAAACGGCGACCACTTCCTCGAAAGGTGGAATGATCGGCGCCTGTTTCTTGTCATAGAGGGAGGAGGCCGCGCGTGCTGAGCACGGGGGTTGGGGGTGTCAGATTTCGGGGTTTTTGGGCACTCCTCGAATATCCACATGCAAGATATGTAGTGAAATTTGACTTTTCTTCAGCCCCAGAAACCCCCAGCCTGCTCTTGTAGGGCTTGATTGCCAGCGGTGCGTCAGCCTTAGGGTCCGGCCTAGTACTCTCCCCCGCTCGAGAGAATTACGTGTCACGAGATTACAGGGGCGAAGAGCAGTCCCAAGATGGACTGCGCAGATACGGATACGGCTCAGACCGTGCGGGTTCAAATTCTTGACTTCTAGTGACGTCGTGGTCCTATCCCTTCGTCTGGCAAGACATGGTCTGTACCAGCAAGGGGGTCTGGCTCGGGGGAAAAGACGACATATGACTAATAAGTTTCTAAGCAAAGGTCCTTTTCGCCCTGAGCCAGGCCCACTTGCCAGTACAGACCATGTCTTGCCAGACGAAGGGATAGGCTCTGTGAGATAGGAGATGGAGACTTGTGCATGACAATTTTCTATGGCTAGATTTGAGTATTTTCTGTATGATCAACGAACTACTCTTCCCAGGTTGAGGACATCTGCGGTGGATATCTTTCGCCGACTACTTTATACTGGTTCAGGATTCCGTCGATTTCTTGAATGTCCTTTTCGGAGAGTTCTACGTTTGCTCCATTTTCTTTGGCACAAGCAACTGTAGTGCTGCCGGGGATGGGAATGAGCTCAGCTGTATCTCCTCGTTTTGACATGGCCTTGATCCAGCCAATGCAAAGCTGGGCCATCGTAGAACCCTTCCGTTCGGCCACCTTTCTGAGTGCCAGAATCAGCTTCATATTTGCCTCCATCGCTTCGGACTGAAATCGAGGGAAGCCACGGAGAAAGGGAGCGGACGGGATATCATTGGCAGACTGAAACATCAGCTGGCCACGTCCCAATACGCCGTATGCAATGATGACAACATTGTGCTTAGCACAGAGCTGCGAGACACCGTTGTGGAAGATATCGGTGGCCATCAACGATACTTCCAGCTCAACGGCGGCGATAGTAGCCACCCTGCAAGCGCGCTCAATCTTCTCCGCCCCCACCTCACTAAGGCCAATGGCTCCAATCTTGCTTTCTTTGACCAACTCGTTGAGTGCTCCAAGGCTGGTTTCAATTGGAACACTCTTGTCGACACGAGCCAGCATGAATATGTCGATGGATTTCGTCCCGGCCAAGATGGAGTTGCAGTTATCTACCGATTGCCGGATGTATTCGGCGCTACCATCAGGAAATCTATTCCTGTAGCCGCCTTTGATGGATAGAACGACCTTCTCTGCGTCTTCAGGGTACTTTGTAAAATAGCTGTGGACCAGGTGAAGGGAGTTGTACTCAGGAGTCCCGTAGTATTCGGCTCCACTCCATAAGTTGCAACCAGCTTCGAGAGCGGCTTTCATGACTGGAATCGCTTCTTCAGTTGATGGGCCAGCATTCAGACGTAGGAGGCCGAAGCCAGTCCTGCCTACGGGCTTGTCGACCAACATCGTTGTCGATTCAAGGGCCATTGTATCAGGTAGGAGGATGGTGTTGTGATCGGCAGGGATTGATGGGTAGGTGGCCAACCAGAAGGAGCAGGGGTCAACCAACGGTTTACTAGTTGATAAGCAAAACAATGGAAATAGTTTCAGCAGACTGGGAGTGATGAAATGGTCCAGGAGCACTGGCAATGGCTTTAAGGTCGGTTATCTAGGGCTCGCCATGAACCATTTGGTTGCAGGCGTGGGCTGTGTTGCTGTGGGCGAGCGCCGCCAAGTTCCTCCCAGGAATATCAGCCGCAGGTAGGGTTAGCACCGATGGTGGCTTCAGGGGCTTCAAGGCTACAAGGATTATAGGACATGACGGGGGTCTGCGCGGGCTTCAGCCCCCATTCTGATGATACAAGCTCCATCCCCTGTTCCCCCCAAATCAAACGTGGCGGAGCAAGGCCGGCCCAGACCCAATCATTGCCCAACCACGTTTTATTTCGGTAGCTACTACAGAAAACCCATATTTGAGTGGCGTCCTGCAACTTCTAAGGCTTATTCGGTTTGACTGCCGCTTTTTAGCGCTTGGTTCGTCTCTCCCTCGGAAAAGTATCGAAGTCGCGGGCATTCAATCTCTCAAACACACAGTCATCATGGCTCCTCCATCATGGGTATGTGTTCCTGAGCCTCCCGTCTGTTTAATGGCTAACACCACGCGTAGGCTGACGGACCGTTTCCTTTGATTCCCACGTCGAAAACCACCAAAGTAGATGGCGACCCAACCGCGAACTGGGTGGCCGATGATATGGCCAACACTCACAATGTGATTATTCGGCAGATGAACTCCATGTACCTGCAGGCTCCGCACGTCAAGTTGGAAGCTGATCAGCTTGACTTATGCCAATATGCCGTCTTTTTCCAAGAATCTCTCCAGTGAGCAAAACCCAACCTTGAAATCTACCAGGTCAATTACTAAATTCTAAAAAGTCATCACCATGAACTCGAGGAGACACGATTATTCCCAGATGTCGAGAAGATAACCGGCGAGGCGGGCATTATGGAACAGAATGTTGTACAGCACCATGAATTCCTTCCAGCATTAGAGACTTTCGGACAATACGCCCAGGCCTGCTTGGACAAGAAGAAATCTTTCGACGCCAGCCAGTTCATTGGCCTGATGGACACCTTTGCGCCAAAATTGTCTACTCACTTAGAGGATGAGATCAAGACCTTGCGAGGTCTGGGTAAATACAAAGACAATGTCAAGGAAATCAAAAAGGCATATATGGCTCTTGCCGCGGATGCCCAGCAGGCGAGCAAGGTAGGTTCCTGCCCTTACATGATCTTGTTTGGACATGGCCGATTAATTGACTTTTCGTATAGACGACAATCTTCCCGCTGGTTTGTGGTGCCCGCGATACAACATATGAGGGAGGCTGTTCGTGGCCCGGATTCCCATTCTTTGTACCGTATATGGTTGATTACGTCTTTGCTGGAAAGCATCGGTCTGTCTGGAGGTTTAACCCCTCCACCATGCAAGGAAAGCCGCGCCCTCTCCTCTTCTTGCCGAGTGAAGAGTAGGCGAAGGTTTCTGTGGCACAGCCAACCACCCCAGAAATTGACATACGTGTTTGCATGGCTCGCTTTTTAATTGTTGGGAGATTCGTAAAGTTTGATATTGAATCTATTCTTCACCAACTCTTCTCGTTTCAAAAAACTTCACATTCCGACTTGATGTTGAATCTAAATGCTGATTGGCTCTGTGTCCAAATCCCCGATCTTTTTCGAAATTCCACCCCCGTTGAACGAAGTTAAGTTAGAATAGCTCCAAACGGTGACTATACTTGAAATGCTCCCTTGCCCGTATTCTCGACCTTGCAAGCCGCTTGCCTCTTCCGAGTCCAATCCACTGCCAGCATGCCTTCCCACGGTGCCTTCTCCGCCTCTGGATCCACGCAAGTCGGCACAATCTCAATCTTGACCTTGCCCCCAACGCCGAGGAAGAAGGGCATAGAGACTCGCTCATCCTTACTCACATTCCTCGCCCGGTGCACATCGCTGATAAACCGCCCGTTCGTGATCAACGCCATCAGATCTCCCAGGTTGCATATCAAAGTGTCAGGAATGGGATTCACTTTGATCCAGTCCCCACCAGGTGATAAGACTTGGAGCCCGGGGTGGTCTTGCCAGAGGAGGGTGATGAGGCCGAAGTCAGTGTGCGATCCCAGGCCTACGTGCTCGATACTCTCTTCGCCATCCGTTCCAGTAGGGATGTTCTTAGGAGTAGGGAAGTAGTTGAGCGCAAGTCCTGCAAATGGCTGAGCGACCATCTCATCGAAGTAGGTCTCTGGCAAGTCCAATGCGAGTGCGCAAATGCGGAGAAGTCGTCGTCCTAATAGAAGTCTGGACGTGAAAGAGTCGATCATGGCCGGTTGGAAAGATGGAACTGTGGCCGTCTTCTCCCATGGAAACTCTTGATACACGCCTCCGGTTGGGTACCCCGGCAGCTTCGAAGTTGGATCCATTGAAGGCCGGTATTGCAACTTGAATTTCTCGTATGTATCGATTGGCTCGGTTTTGTTGATCTGCTCATTGTTTCTACCCGTGTACCCTTCGATCTCATGATCGAAATGCACCTCTTGTTTTATTTCGAGCGGCTGCCGAAAGAATTCCAGGGTTGAATCCACCGCAGCTTTCGCGACAGAGTCGGGAATCCCATGATTAGTAACATAAAAGAAACCGATATCCTTGCAGGCCTTGCGAACTTTGTCAGCAACTGCTTGCCGATCAGAGAGTTTATCGCTGAAAATCCGAGATACATCGATCACGCTGATCTCGCCTGGTCGAGGGTCGCGGGCGGCGGCTCTGTTAACATTGCGAGAGACCGGGCCAAAAAATGAATCGACTTTAAGAACGTAAGCTTCTTCCGTTGCTGTTGTAGTAGCCATTATTGGAGACTGGGAGTTCAACTTGCGTGACTGGACTGCTGGAGGAACTTAGAAGTGTCTTATAAAAGATGAAACGAAAGATGCAGCGAGCAGTCCGAGTGTTAACTAATAAAAATAGACAGTAAACGAATCCGTCTAGAGCCTTTGGCGTTTACAACGTCTTATCAAGTATGGGTATGAAATGTAACGAGGCAGGGGTGTTCGAGGGTGGCACAGGCCAGAAATTCACCAGGATCGTTTTAAACGCCCTCTCCCACCCCCTGCCTCGCTGCATTTAATTCCCATAAGACGTTGTGCTGTCATCTCACAATATCGTATTGCCACCAATGACCAACTGCCCCCTCACCTGAGCTGACAGTGGCTTGAAGGCCCTGCCGGATCGTGCAATGCTGTGTTCGTAGCACGCTCCAATTTCCGGCTTTCAAGTGCGCAAATACTCCTGAATTGGCGACGTGCTAGGAGACATACTAAAACAACGACCCGCCAGCCTGGGCTAACTTATCGCATGTCTTGAAGCCACTTATCGCATGCCTTGGATTCTGGATTGAGCATCAAATTTACGTTCTTTCAATCAACTTCGGCTGATCATGGCTGCTCCTGGAGGACCACTTCCCCCGGATTTCTTCGACCCAATGCCATTTGCAAACCATAAGGGTGCTATACTTGGAATATGTATCCCGCTCATGGTACGTCCTCTGCCCTGCGAGAAGGGATTTCAGATCGCTACTGACTGACGTGCGAAAGACGCTGTGTTGGCTGGCGGTAGCAGCTCGACTATCCGTTCGGATCTTCATCACGAAGGCGCCAGGATGGGATGACTTGTTCGTCGTCTCCGCCGCGGTGGGTTTTGAATTCGGTTCCTAGGTTTGGGATTTCAACTGACGCTTTGTCCAGCTGGTGGTTTCAATGGGCACCATCGCGTTTTGCGTCTCGACGAGATACGGGATGGGCCAGCACATCTATCTCCTGCAGCCTCAGAATATCTCAAAAGTGGTGTTATGCAACTATTTATTCGGCGCTGCGTATAACTGCTCAACCGCCCTCATCAAGATATCGCTTTTGCTCCAATATCTACGCGTGTTTGAGCGCGGGACATGGACCTACAGAGCCACACAACTTTTGCTAGCTGTCATCTCACTCTGGGGTTTCTCTTTCGGGTTCATCGCATGGTTTTCTTGTCTGCCCGATCCTTCTGCTCTTTGGAAAGGGTCAAGAAAGGGCTGCTATGGCGCTGCTTCAACAAATATGGACATGGTAGTAAGAGTGATTGTAGCTCATGCCGGCCTTAACTTTGCGTTTGATATTCTCGTCTTAATATTGGCTTTCCGACTTTTATTTTCGAAAGAAGTCCCGACGACGAAGAGGAGCATGACGGTGTTGATATTCGTGGGATCTGTGTAAGTCAACTCCACACGCTTTTCTTCCCGGCAAGGTCGCCTTGAACTAATGGTTTATTAGCTCTTGCATGTTTGCAGCATGGCGCCTTGCATCCATTATCCAAACCAATGCAGGACGGTCAACCGATCTCTCCTGGGGCCTGCCGGGACCGACATTGCTCTCCATTTGCGAGATCGACATCGCTGTATTCGTTGCTTCCGTACCATTCTTCTGGCCGATTTTCAAAGAGCAAATCACCCAGATTTTTGTTAAGTATGAGTTCAACGTCTCGACTGAGTCCCGTTTCCACCAGGGAGATGACGACACGGTCGAGCTATCTAGGATGGAAGCTAGCCAGACGGGAAAGTCGGGAGGTATCGAGGATGTGAAATCGGTGAAATCTGAAGATTACCAAAGAATTCAAGAACGCCCAGACAACCAGAAATTCCAGGAGAGCAACTATATGCGGGCTCAAGGGGACCCTTTTGCGGAGGACTTCCAAACAGAGACAATCGTCCACACGGGCGGGACGGACAAAAACCACGGCGGATTTGTCCGATCCAAGAATTGAAGACGACTTTTCTTTTGTGACATGCAGCGATTAGAGTGGAGACTTTGAAGAGCTGGGAATTAGGCCATGGGTGGCTCATGAGTGACTCTATCCGATGGTTACAATACTTTGTAGCTCAGATGGAGGAATGGCACAGCAGCATCAGGCTCAATAGCTAAGCTAATCATCATCAATATTAATTCGTCCGTACCGATCGGAAAAATGGCGCGATTCCCGTCGTGAAGCAAGTCCCATCCCACATGCGTGCTCCCGTAGCCCTAAGACGTGAATCGGTGCTGGGAGACAGCGTGCCTCATTGTCTCCTTCGAAGGTGGAGCCTGAGAGACGCCAGAGAGTGAGAGCGGGCTCGTACTTCGTAAAGTGCACGCCCCAAAAATGGAGCCCAAGGCACAGGGCTCCTTCCTCTCACAAGGGCCAGGGGGGCAGCAAAACCAGCAAAGAAGCAACTGGTGTGCTAGACTGCGGGATCCATGCCTGCCAGCCTGTACTCCACCCACCCCCACCCCCCTAAATAAATGTAAATAGTGGGCCCTCTTGACCGGGGTGTTTTGTATGGTAGAATGTCTGTGCTCTGGGAGTCTGGACCCATTGTTGCATTTAATTAAGGGGGGTAGGTCAGACGGACGGTTTGATCTGTGCAGACGAACGGACCGCTGATTTAACGCCGTCAGCAAGCAAATCTTACCAGCTAAAAGCAGTGCTGGGGCCAAGAAAAAGGAGGTTTAGTCAAATGTCACCGAACAAGGCAACATCCCCGTACCTGCGTACCAAGCATGCTAGCAACGTGGGCAAGGCCTCACCGAGTAACCGGACGCTGGGCCAAGAATGTGTCTCATTTTATGCCAGATTATTGTGATTATGAATATTCCACAAAGGTTGTTCTTGATTGGAAATACTACCGAGAACATGGGGTCAGACATGTTTAAATTACACAGCCTGTAAACTCATAACACATTCGTTGGTGTGCACTTGATATACCACAGTGCTCAATCTCCTCAGCCCAGCCCGAGTGAACACATTGTCCCATTGGGTTTGGGTGCGTTGACACGAAGCATGTCCGCAAAGCATCACCAAGTCAATGGAGGTACACCAGGAGTTGGCCCCCACATCCGGAACAACCATCTCGTCAACGAGAATCAATGACCCTTCCTCCATGGCTGCTCTGGTGTTCTTCAAGATCTCTACGACCTTGTCGTCAGGCCAATTGTGCAGAACTGTTCGGTAGTAGTAGAACTTGGCTCCTAAGTGAACAGTTAGAGTTGACTCGCGTTTGACGTATATTCCAGAAGAGTGCGATTGCATACCTTTGACCGGCTGTGGTGTGAAGAAATCGTAAACCATATTCTCAACCCCAGGAGTCTGAAGTGCCTTCTCAATGTTTTCCGGGCGATCCTGAAGTATAACACGCCCAGGAACATTGGGGTATTTCGCCTTGAACTCGGCATTTTGCATACCGATGTTTCCTCCGATGTTGACATAGACCGCCTTCTCCGGGCTCCACGATTTGGTTTCTTCCTCAACGGGATATACCGAGAGCCACGTGTCTTGCGCTCCCTGGCGACGAATGGACATGAAATTCTGGAAAATTTCCAGGGTCTTGGGGTTTTTCCGGAGCCAGTCGAATCCGTCCTCTCCTTCTAGGTTGTAAGCATCTTGAAGAACGGAGTGCATGACGTCCGTTGGGTTTTCATAGTTGGTCTTCTGGAGATAGTTTGGTAGCGCAATGAACTGGGGCCCGAGGCCGGTAAAACTAATAATAACATGAGATGATGGGGAAGATTGGAGAGGGCCAAACATGGAAACTCACAACCAGTCGATGCCAGCCGCAACAGCTGGAACACACAGATTCTTGCTGACCTGATTGCTCTTAAAGCTATCGATTCCAGTCTGAGTCAGAACGCCCACAGCAGAAAGGTGCCTCAATATTCGTCCTATCTCATGTCAGGAAGAACTTTGAAATTGGTCAGCAACACATACCTAGAAGAATTGGGCTGGCTTCAGTAGTTTTGGCGATTTCATCAATTGTCAACGATCCATCGCTCTTAGAGAACAGATGGAACAACTTGAGGTCAAAGCCTGTACGGACTACAGCAGTTGTCAAACCCTAGATATTATATATCAGTCAACGACCTACATCTTGGAGGGGGGGGGTTCCTTCTCTGAGACAGGAGAATTTTGACTTACACCAAAGGCAATCTTGTCCAGTGTGTTGTCGGGAGAGTCCAGCGAGTTAGCCAGGTCTCGGAGCTTCAGCGCGAGCTTTATCTTGGTCTTGCAATCAGCGGTGGTAATGAACTTCTCGACTGGGTTCAAAAGGTCGTCCATTTTTAATATTTCACAAATGCTAGAATATGATGTCAGAATCCAAAATGATAGGAACAGAAAGTAGTATACTCACTCAATTGAGCAAAAGAATGAGAAAAATCAGATTCTTTTTTTGGTCTTTCCTAAGAACCCAGGGTTTTGAAATTGAAATACTTCAGGCTTACGGAGGACTCGGCCAAAAGTCTTGCAACTGCCAGGATTCGACGCCGACACTCGCCTAATTGGCAGGGGCGTTGCAGAGGCACGCGCCTCCGCTTAGGCGTATTTACAGCCAAACAAATCGAAGCTGAAAATCAAACCCCCGATTAATTTCTTTAACAGCCAACGCACTTAGCTTCCCTTGAAAAAATAATATTAAATGATATGCAATTCACAGTATTACCCTCTATAAAGTTGTGAGAAAAATTAATTGTCATTATTGTGGAAGCTATTATAGAAAACGTTGATGTCCGACCCCAATTTTGGTATTACAACTAACCGGAGGCGAATGCAGGGCAACCAGAGGCCGCTAAGTTACAGGGCTTTTACAGGCTTGTCGTGCTTAATAACAGCACTCAAGCCCTGTAAACATTACTATGCCAGCGCTGTGTGGGGTCCTTAGGCCTGGCGCCCACCCCTGCCGGTTGCGCTTATGGCCGCGTCCTCCGTACGCGATAGTTACTGGCTGAGCCCGGGGACCGGCACCTGGAGGCGAAATACGTAAAAGGGAAAAAATCGCAATACTAGCGTCAAATTACAAAGCGTCCCCGTTTTAAATCTGGGTTGGAACTGCCCCCGGTCGTGCCACATTTACGGGACGTATGTAATTACATGGTGTCAGAAAAGAAATTACTTGACAACGTCGCTAGGGAAATAATGTAGTGAGACAGGGGTGTTCCGCGCTGGCACGGACCAGAGAGCAAACAATGCGATCTTTCAATTGGCTTTACCCCTTGTCTGTGGCTCTCTCGCGACATTATTTTCCCTAAAGAGTTGAGACGTTGTATGCCAAGGGCTGCGCTCGCACTGAGGCAGAAGACGCCGCTGCCGTTTCAAGAGATCCCCGATGCACCAAAAAAAGCCCCCATCCTTCCTCACCGCTCAACATCGTACTGTAAGCACCCGTTCGTACCTCCTACTCGTTCGGCCGGGCTCACCTGGTCCTCGCTTAGCATGCTTACCAGGTGAGGGAGGGCAATACGCAAAAACCAGCAATACGCAAATGTAAAACCCTACCAAAAATCAATTATTCGCACATGATCTTGGGAGCAACCGCACGTAATTAATAACTCGCTAAGAAGTAGAAATAGTTTCTTAATACTAAAACTTCTCCCCTCTAAAATTTAGAGCCAAAAATCCGTGGTTGTGGGGGGTGTCAAATTTCCCCATACAAATTTTTGCGGTGATTTGCGTATTGCTGGTTTTTGCGTATTGCCCTCCCTCACCTGGTAAGCGTGCTAAGCGAGGACCAGGTGAGCCCGGCCGAACGAGTACCAGTTAGAAAAAAGCGGCTGGGCCACACTAGCGACTGGGCCACCCCCTAAATTTGTGTTTCTCGCTAAATTTGTAGCACAGACCAGCACAGACCAGCTAGCTAGAAGTATCTCTCACACAAACAACCAGTAGTAACTAGTGGGAGGTACGAATGGGTAAGCACTGGAAGCGGAGCTCAAGACCCGATTCCAAATAAGCCAATTCATTCATTCATTGCTTTTAATCTCTCCCCGGGGGGCCTAAAATCGAATATACCCTGCTGTGTTATCAGCGAATCTGACATACCTCTCCACCCGCCGCATGAAGCTGGCCAATTAATTAATGGGAATTGTGAAGCTGTTGATGCCGCTGTTACTGTTTCTGGCGCTGTCTCCGGACTTAATTTTCACAGTATCATCGAGCATTTTTTATAAAAAATCTCTCTAAGATGTAATGATTGTGCAGCAAAATATCCCTTATTAGTACTGAAACTATGATTTAAATTAGCTAAAACGAGACAGCGATTTTCAGACCGAGACGACATTGCCGTCGCCCCCTAAAAACGCCCTAGATACCCTCAAAGATGCTTTTTTTCAGAGAGCATGTCTATAGACTTACCCATTTTCTTGCGTTGCTCATATTTTTAATTTTCACGCTTTAATACTTCTAATGAGGTTTTTATTAATGTTCCGTGGATTTTGAGTATTGGAATGGATGCGCTTTAGCCAGCTTAATGCGGCAGGTGGAGAAGGTAATTTATGTCGCAGCAGGGTATATCAGACTTTGGGCCACTCCCCGGCTTCCCAAGGCTTTTCTAGCGTGGGGGAGGGTGAGGTTATGTAAAGAGACTATCTCACTAGCTTCCTTTTCATACTATAGAATTATCTTTGCTTTACTTAGATTATTGTTATTATTGTGTTGAGACCATTTTTGAGGACGAAAGGATCTGTGATGGCGGCCCCGAATATTACGGATCTTCTGAGACGAGCGGCAGCGAGCTCCAATAACACCGGCATAATTACTTATCCATCTGGAAAGACGACCGATGGCCTGAAGACTTCGTATAATCAGCTTCTGATGCAAGCAGAACACAATGCCAAGTCCATTTCAGCGATCAGCGGCTTCAAGAAAAAGTCGATTGTCCTTCTTCATCTGGACGATCTCTTCGACAGCATTACCTTATTCTGGTCAGTCATTTTTGCAGAAGGCGTTCCTTGTATTTCAACGCCGTTTACAAACATTCCGGCACAACGAGAAAAACACATGAGACATCTCCATAGTCTCCTCGACGATCCAATTTGCATCACCAGAGCTCACTTGCTGGCACAATTCTGTGGGCAAAGCCTCTTGGCACCTCATACAATCGAAGAGTTCTCTGATTTGCAGCTGCCACCAAGAGTTGCCATTCCTACAATTGCTGTAGACTCAGAGTCAAACCCAAAACCTCATGTCAATGGATTCCAAAGTCAAACATCTTTTCTTCCGTCAGATCTGGATGATTTGGCACTGCTGATGCTCACATCTGGGAGCACTGGCAATGCGAAAGCAGTTCGCTTAAGCCATGCTCAGATGATGGCTGCTGTTGCAGCAAAATGCGAGGTCAGGGCGGTACCACTGGGCGCACCCTTCTTGAACTGGATAAACTTTGATCATGTTGCTTGTGTTACCGAGATACATCTCCAGGCCATGTACCTTGGCGTGGATCAAATTCATGTACAGGCGGCCGATATAGTTTCCAGTCCTGCTCTGTTTCTGCGACTTCTCTCGGAGCACAGAGTTGGGAAGTCATTCGCACCAAACTTTTACCTCGCGCAGTTAAGAAAGTACCTGAAAACTGAAGAGGGACTTCTTCTGGGCGAGAAACTTGACCTTAGCAACCTTCACTGGCTTTCTTCTGGAGGAGAGCCGAATGTTGTGGAAACATGCGAAGCTTTGGCCAAAATCATGGCTGGCTGTGGGGCGCCAGACGGTGTTATCGTGCCAGGATTTGGGATGACGGAAACTTGTGCAGGCTCAATTTGGAATACCAACTGTCCTGAATACGATATTCAGAACAGTAGCCAATTTGCGTCTCTTGGACGATGTATGCCAGGGATTGAAATGCGTGCCGTCGTCATCAGTTTGGAAGGTACTCCAGAGGTCGCCCCAGCAGGTCATCCGGGGTTTCTCGAAGTTCGAGGGCCTATCGTATTTAAAGGCTACTTCAACAATCCTACCGCTACTGCAGAAGCAATATCTTCAGAGGGCTGGTTTAGGACAGGCGACCAAGCGATGATCGACTCGGAGGGCAAGCTCAATCTCATCGGGCGGAGTAATGATCATATCAATATCAACGGTGTCAAATACCTACCGAAAGAGCTGGAGGCTGCTATTGAAGAGTTATCGATCGATGGAGTTACACCAGACTACACTGTCTGCTTTTCAATTCGCCCATCTGGCGCCCAAACCGAACAAATATGCATCATTTACCTGCCATCCTATTCGCCCGATGACGCGAACGCTCGAATGTCAGCCCGCAAAGAGATCATCAAAGCCACAATGTTGCATACCGGTTCGCGGCCTCGTGTCCTACCGCTGAATAGTACCTTCTTGATGAAAACAACTTTAGGAAAGTTGTCCCGAGTCAAGATTCGTGATTCCTTCGGAAAAGGTGACTTCAAGGAGCTCGAGGACTTTGACAACGCTCAGATACAGGCCTACATTGCGAGCAACACTGCACGACCACAAAGTGAGAACGAGCATGTGATCCTCCAACAGCTCTCCGAGACCCTTGAGATCTCAGTCGAAGATATTGGCGTCGAAACTCCGATATTCGATATGGGCATAACTTCAATCCATCTCATCCAACTGAAGAAGAAACTGCAAGCATGCCTCTCTATTCCTGACATCCCAATATCGGTGATCATGACAAACTCAACTGTTCGTTCCTTAAGCGAGGCTCTAGAAAACCTCGATAAACCAAAAGAGTACGACCCTGTTGTCGTCTTGCAAAAGGACGGAGACAAAAAACCTCTTTGGCTCTTCCACCCCGGTATTGGCGAAGTCCTCGTTTTCCTCGGTCTTTCAAAATATCTGCAAGGCCGTCCGGTCTATGCCCTCCGCGCCCGTGGTTTCGAAACTGGTCAAACGCATTTCAAGAGCATCGAAGAAGCTGTTCGTACCTACCATGCAGCCATCAAAGCAAAGCAGCCACATGGTCCGTATGCACTCGCAGGCTATTCGTTTGGCACCATGCTGGCGTTTGAGACGTCCAAGGCGCTACAAGCCAACGGCGATCAGATTGCATTCCTGGGGTCTTTCAATTTACCTCCGCATATCAAGGACCGCATGCGACAGCTGGATTGGTCCGACTGTCTACTACATCTTTCTTATTTCCTTGATCTCATTGGCTCTGATATTGATGCTCTAGCTAAGCAAATCTCTGGGTATTCAAAGGAGATGGCACTTGCAGAAATAGCAAGATTGGTTGACCAAGATCGACTGCTCGAACTTTCTCTTACAACAGAAGCACTTGGAAAGTGGGCTGATCTTGCACATGATCTTCAAAGTATGGCCAGAAATTATGAGCCTTCTGGATCTGTACCCGTGATGGATATATTCGTTGCAGAGCCTTTGTCGATTATAGCAGCGAGTAGGGAAGAATGGAAGAGAACTAGATTGAGCAAATGGAGCGACTTCTGTGAGTCGGAGCCGATATTTCACGATGTTGATGGGGAACATTACACAATGATTGGCGAAAAACATGTTCTGAGTTTTCAAAAGACTCTCAGAAGAGCTTTGAAGTATAGAGGACTGTGAGCAGCAATGACAGCTTTTGTAGTTCTTTTTACTCTTAATCAAGAATAGATCTTTATTTCTTTAAACTATCTTTACTACATCAAATATATATCGCGAATTATTCCTAACCTTCTCGATATTGAGAGCTACTTCTTTAATGTCTTGCATTCTGATTGTACTAGTTTTCCTTTTTCTAAATCTCTAGTTTAATTAAGTCAAGAGAGTTTATAAGTTAAGTTAAGAATTAGTTAAGTTTTTATCTATTTTCTATTTTTAAAAGAGAGGTTTATAATTCTTTCCTTTTAATAGTATTTTTATTTGGAATTTTAATAAATTTAATTTAGCTTTTAAATTTTTAATTATTTTTAATTAATAATTAAAGCTTGAAATTATAATAATAAATTATATTCTCTTATTTTAATTATTTTAAATAAACTTAAGTTTAGCTTTATTCTCTTTAAATACTAGAATTTCTTTAAAAAGTTTTATTACAATTTTTTAATTTTTTTAAAGTTAATTAATATTAGAAATAGCCAAATTTTTAATACTATTAATATAGCTATTACTTCGGAAGTCACGTGCTTAGTTACGGGACTCGGAGGCAACGGGATATAGATAATAAAATACGAGATATAATTATATAATTTCGTATTTTATAAATAATTTAACTAGTAACTAGTTTCTATTAGGCTTAATAAATTTAGGAATTATATATTAATATTATAATACTATAATTCTTATTTTTAAATATAACTTACTTTACTAACTTTATATAAATAGTATTATATATTTCTAATAAATTAATATTAATTAGTTTTTATATATAAATTAAATTAAAAAAGAATTAAGTTATATTTATTTAAGATTTAATTTCTTGAAAATAAAGCTATTATTTTATATTAAAAAGAAAATAACTATTAATTTTATATTTATAATTTAGTTTTATAAAAAAGAAAAATAATAGTTATTTTTATTTATAATTTAGTTTTATATAAAAAAAATATTACTTTTTATTAATTATTAAATAATTAGCTATTTAGTTATTTAATTATTTTATAAAACTATTTTTTTTTATAAAAAATTATATTTTTTATAATTATTTAAACTTATAGGGCTTTTAAGCTTTAAAACTATTAAGTTCTTTTGAAATCTTAATATTTTACTTTCTAAATTTCTTATTATAAATAAAATATCTTTTATAAATCTATTTTTCTTATAAATTATTATATCTTAAACTAAATATAAATCTATAAAATATATAATAATAAAATATGTTATAATAAAATATATTATAATAAAATATATTATAGTAAAATATATTATAATAAATAATTTCTTTATTAAATTTAACTAATTTAATTACTTTATATAAAATAATAATTTTAAATAAATAATAAAGAAATAAAGATATAAAATTAATTTAAATATTACTAAATTAGAAAAAATATTTGAGTTTCTAAATATTAAACTATTTTAATATATTTTTTATAAAATAATTAATAATAATTTTAAGAACTTTATTTATTAAAAAAAACTTTATATTAGTATAGCTATTTCTTTAGGAATTATATATATAATTACAGGATTCGAGATATAAGATATAAATAATAAAATATAATTATATAATCTCATATTCTATAAATAACTTAATTAATAAACTAAATCCTATTAGGCTTAGTAAATTTAGGAATTATATATTAATACTATAATCTTTAATTCCTATTTCTAAATAATAATAACTTTATTAATCTTATATAAATAGTATTTTATATCTATATAATAATACTATATATTACTAGTAAACTAATACTAATTAATTTATATATATAGATTAGAGAAAATTTTAGATTAGTCCTAAAAGTATTTAATAGCCTATAAAAAAGATATCTAGTTTTTACTAATTAATAAATAGTTAGCTATTTAACTATTTATCTATTTAATTTCTATTATTTTTTAAAACTAATTTCTTTTAATCCCAAGATTATTTTTTTAGAAACCATTTTTTCTATTTATATAATACCCGTATTTATAGGATTCTTTTTCCGGAATATATATCCTATATATATCCTTAAAGCTCTTTAACTATAATATTAATTTTACTATTAAATTAAGCCCTTTAAGCTTTAGATACTTCCGGAATTATAATATTTTATTTCCTAAATTTCTTATTATAAATAAAATATTTAAAAGCAAAATATTTACTTTAATACCCTTATTAGATATCTGGATATCTGATATCTGAACTAGATATCTGGTATCTAAACCAGGTATCTAAACTAGATATCTGGGTATTTGAATACTTTTATTACTAAATTCTTTCTATAAACCTACTACAAATTGCCTTACCTTTAAACTCCTCTTGCTATAAACCATATATATACTAGAGAGAACCTGAACTCGGTTTAGTATAAATACTAATAAGAGAAAGAAACTAATTAAGAAATAAGAGAATAGTATTAATTTAGTAATTATAATAAAGAATAATTTTTAGAAATATTTAACTATTAAGATATATTAGTATATCTTATATAGAAAAAGTAATAATAATCTATAGAATCTATTTTAGAATAATTTTAAGAACTTTAATATTATAGTATATAGTCTAATTAACTATATACTTTTATAAAATCTTTAAATCTAATTTTAGTATAGTAATATTTATATTAAATAGAATTATAAGAACTTTATTATTATATAATTCTTTATTAACCTTATCTAAAAAAAAACCAAAAATATATAAAATAAAACTAATATTATTAATAATAGTCTAATTAGAACAGATCTTTTTTAGGAACCTATTATATTATATTATTTTATTTTAAATAAAACTAGATATAAGAAAACTAGATACTCTTAGTTAAGAAATTAAGCTATTTATTTATTTCTTCTAATTAAGGCTATTTATTACTTTTACTTTTACTATTACTAGTATTACTATTAAACCTAAACTTCTATTAATTAATATCTACTATTACTATTAGGAAACTTATTAGGGAAATAATAAAGATATATTTTAAAATATAGAAATATAATAGAACTAATAGTAGTTTTAATTATAAACTTATTATTTTCCTTAATATTTATTAATATATAAAGGTTCTAGAAAAATACTAGTAAGAGCTTTTCCTATTATATTAAAGGAACTAGTATAAGACTACTTTTATAATAACTAGCTCTCGAATTATATATATAAAAAGGCCTATATAAATATCTATAGCTTTTTTTTAAAAAAAACCCGATTTTTATTATTAAAATTTAGATAAATAAAATATTATTACCTTAGTAATTATAATAATAAAAGACCCTAAAAAGATAATATTCGAGCTTATTTAAATACTAATTAATAACTTATATAAATTATAATATAGCTTTATTTCTATTTTATAAAATACCGAATTCTTATATAATAAAATTATTATCTCCTATTAAGATTTATTAGTATATTAATATATAGTTTCGGACTCTTTTAATAAATTCGACTAGTTTATTAATAAGTTTTAATTATTTATTATTATCTATAAAAAGAAGTAATAAATTAATATTAAAATCTATTTTACTAATTAATAATACTATTCTTAAAACTCTTTAAGCTATTATTTATCTGGAAATTATTAATATAAACCTAGCTATAATTTTGGAACCTGTAATAACTATTTTAAGTTCTATAATTATAATAATTATATCCCGAAATCGTGTTTTATATATAAGAAACCCGAATACTATTTATAGAAATATATATTAAAGAAATAAGAAACTAAGAAAACTTAATTTAAGAATAGAAATATTTACTAATTTAGATTTCGAATTCCTATAACTTTAATAAATGCTTTAATAGTATTTATATATAGTATATTACCGAAATTAAAAAAGAAAATAATAATAAGAATAGTAAAGATAAACTAGAAAATAATACTTTTAAAGCTTTATTAGTAGAAATAAATAAGGAAAAGAAATATTATTTAGTTTTCTATTTTATTTTTATTAAAAGTTTTCTAGTTATTTCTATTACTTTTATTTCTATTATTCCTATAACTAATATTCTTATAAATAATATTATTTCTCTTTCTTTTATATATTAAATAATAGGCAAAAACTATATTTTAGAATCTATTAAATAAATAAAAAATATCTAGATATTTATATTTAATAATATATTAAAATATAATACTTATTATTTTTATAGAATTATAATTAATACTAAAGCTTCTAGATTCTTAATTACTAGTTCTAACTAATTCCAAGCTTTATAATAGACGAATAATAATATTAAACTTAATAAAACTATTAAAAATTAAATTAATATCTAGTTTAGTATTAGATCTATATTCTTTATTAAATTTATAATAATAAGAATATTAATTAGATAAGTATAATTTTATATTATATTTATAAGAATTCTATTCTTATTTAGTTTAGTTAATATAAATAAGCTAGAGATCTATTTTAATAATCTTACTAATTATTTTATTATTTTTATTAAATACTTTATATCTATAATATAATATTTTAGATATTCTTTCTTGCTTTAAAATACTATATTATAAAGCTTTATTTCCGAATTCTTTATTTATAACTTCTATTTTTTTTTTATAGAAATCGAATTATAATATTTATATTATTATTTTAGTTATTTATTTATTAGTAAATTCCGAAATATATTAGAATAAACAGGCTATAATATTAATATAAAAGCCTTTAAATATCTTATAAAGTATTATAAATAATACCAGAAATTCGAATAATTACTAGAATAATTCAAATTTAATCTAAGAAATAATATTAGTTTTAATTATTCTATTATTATTAATATTTTCTATATTTCTAAGAAGCCTATATTTTATATTATTAATAAAAGTACTCGATATTAAATTAGCTAATAGCTTTAAAATATTAGTATATTATATATTTGGAATATCCTAAAATAGTATTAGATTAATATTTATTTAGGCCTTTTTAATTAGATTTATAAGGTATTTATTAGTAAATAATAAAATAATAGAATAAATTAGTAAATTATAAAACTAATTTCTATCTCTTTTATAAGATCCAGAGAAGCCTTTTCTAAATAAGAAGCCCTGATAATATATATATAATTAGTAATTTATAAGCCTAATA